TAAATAAATAAATAAATAAATAAATAAATAAATAAATAAAGCATGCATGAAAAAAGTAAACAATGAATATAGAAAATTTCATTACAAAATTCAGACAAGTAAAGAATTTCATTCCTCAGCATTAACACACAGACCCATCCATGTCCTATTATATGCCAATGATGCTGCTATTCTTTATTTGTCCCAGGTAGGTTTCGAAACAAGCCTACAAGCACTAGCTAAGTTCTCTCACCTAGAAAAACCTATGATTAACTGCGCCAAAATTTACAAAAAGAAGCTCCAAGCATCAACATAAATGACAAAGTAACAGTATTCAAATGAAGTAAACTAAGGGCTTTAAATAGGTATCACATTCTACTTTTCCTCTACATGAAATCAAGAAATCCAAAGTCTCATGCATAGAAGACCACAAATGAGATAATTAGAGCTGTAAGTCATAAAGGTAACAATTTTCTTCCTGTGGCTGTTAAACTATTCATAGCCAAGATGATTCCACTTCAGCTCTATGGCAAGTTTCATATATTGGGGAAAGGGAGATAAAACAACAAGAAATGCAGATTACTCAATAGTTTTTGTTTTAGCTACATTTCCAAAAAACTCTGAAGGAATAGAGTAACAACACTGATATGAACCAGATTTAGGCTGATTAATACATATATTTTTCTAATCACTTCTATATTGGATCATTGAACTTTGCAGGTGGGGACAAAGAAACACAATATTTGCCCCTCCATGCATAGCAAACAATCCCTTCATTCTTTCAACTTACTATCTGCAAACAGACCCTACACACAAGAATCAAACTACACAGCTATTATACCATTTTTGTGATGTGCAGATTATACGGATATGCGTTGTACATTCTGGGCTATATGAGTTAACTTTTAATACTTACTGATAAATGTCTTTCCTCAGCACAACTCTACTAAGAGGATTGTCAGCCTGAGGAGCCATTGATACAGAACCAATTTTAAGTACCAAAGTATCTTCCTGATTTGTCTTATCTGCAATAAAAATGGAAGACAATCACCACACATATTACATCTGTGTAAAAGTCAGTCATTAACAAAAGAACTTGAAATGGATAAATATCAGTAAGGTTACTTCTGAACAAAGAAAATTTACTTGTGGAATCATTATTAACAAAATAATATATTATTTATTGACACCAATTTACATGGAAAGCCAGTTCTTATACCGAGAGACACAGACTGAGTTCTAATGTGCTCTGATTGGTTTTGGCTTAAATCAATATCTCAATCCAACCACTGGCTCTTGTAACCACAGATTATAATTCAGTCTAGCTGTTTGCAATCTATGGCTTGTAGACTCTGCACTGCATTAAAATGAAAGAAATGCTGCATCAGTCTACTATATATATAAAACTCCTGCTTTATCATCTCTATTTTTTAAAAATGCTTAATAAAGTATTATGAATAAAGAACTGACTATATGTTTTAGTAAAGCAATCAATCTACACACTATATTTTGTGACTTTTTTTAAGCCTGTGAAGGATCTTATGGTATTTTAGAAGCTGATATTGACATCTGATATATACATAAAGGCAGGCCTAGTGTTTTCCATGAGTCTATGTTTTGAGGATGTATGTAAGCTTTCAATTTCTGTATCTCTGGCCACCCAGTGAGTTATCCCAGACTTGTTTTGAAAGTTTGAAAGTTAATCTTTCAGCTACAAATGTTAAGTGTGGTGAGTGCTAAGTATTTTACTAAATAACATATTGCTTGATGTGGAAAGAACAAGCAAACTTCACATGCAGTTCAGAAGAATCAAGTAAATGTGCCTGTGTGTGTGTAAGTAAACTGACTTAAGTATACCACAAACATGCACCCAGAATGAATCAAACAACCAGAGGCCATAATTAACAATATGGACACACATATTAATGCAAAAGTCATGACATGGCTCAAACAAATCTATCAAATATTTATTTCACAGACAGTTCACACTACTTTTTAAAAAGAAATAATTCTTATTTTCCAGAAAAAAAATATTGTACCATAAATCAATGCAGTGGGTTTCTCCTTTTATTACTGAAATACACTGAAAATAATTAAAGAAGAACTGCATTAAAGATATGATACAATAAATTGTTTTGGAAAATAATATCCAAAGAATATATATTTATTGTATGCTGCCCAGAGCCATTGATGGAGTGGGCAAAATATATATTACACAAATTTTAAAAATACCTTCTATGTTACACTGTCCTTCCTCCATTTTGGGGAAGAAGATCCGGATTACCCCTGTATTAACATAAATAAGTGGCAAGTTGCGAGATGTGAGAATATGGGACCTCATAGGCTGGCCTGGGGATTTTCTTTTCTCTTTTTGACTCTTTGGGAGATTCGCTTGAAAAATACTTGCAATTGCATTGAGGAAAGGAACACAAAGAACAACATCAAATGCCTGAGCTGAAAGAAGAATCTCATGAAGAAAATGAGGAGAACTATCTGTGAAACTTTCAGATAATTTCTGCAAGGTTCTTCGTTCATTTCTTGAAATCAATTTGTGGCGGACATTTTTTGTGACTGCTTTTGTATAAGTCAAAGAGAGAAATCCATGCTGTTGATGAGAACCATCCAAAAGTTTTGCAGTTGCCTGTGCAGAGAAACATAAATACCCAGAAATAAGAAATCTGCATGCATTAAGTAGTGGTTATAAAACCGTTTGCAATTTATTTATTTATTTCTGTTTTCCAGTTCTCCCCTTTTTTGGCAAAAGAATGCATTTTGGTGAATTTATGGAAAATAATACATGTCCTGTCTCTTTGCAGACCTGACTGAAATTTGTTCATACAGTTGTTTTAAAATGCATTTAGCTTCAAGTATAGAGTATGCTAACTGATGACAACCCTTTGATTCAGAGAAGCAGAGGATGAGCCATAGCAAACTTCATGCTCCTAAATCTCTTCTTTATTTTCTTTGTATTTGCATACAAAGGGAGGAAATTATTTTTCATTATTAGCTTTGATTAAACTGCAACTTCACCTTAATTGAAACTCAAGAAATAATGGTTCATTGTAACCACTTGTAGTTATCAAATCAGGATTTGAAATTACAGTACAGTTCTTAGTTTGTTGATTAACCACATTTTGAAGTTGTTGTTTAACCAATTAACTGAAAATCAAGAATAGACGCTTCAGATTCATCTATCTGCATACTCTCTGTATGTAAAGAAAGTGGCTAAGCCATAATTTTGCATCATGTCCAAATGAGACCAATCCAGGTGCATGGTGTGTGTGTGTGGCCACATTTAGATGTGATGCAAAACTATGACTTTTACAGGTAGTCCTCGTTTAATGACTGCTCTGTTGCACGACCATTTGAAGTATGACAATGCTGAAAAACACTTTACGAGTGGTCCTCGCACTTGTGACTGTCATAGCATCCCCATGGTCACATGATCAAAATTTGTGCACTTTGCAACCAGCGGGCATTTACGACCACCACAGTGTCCCATGGTCATGTGACTGCCATTTGTGCACTTCACAGCTGGCTTCCAACAATGTCAATGGAGAAGCCAGCAATAAAATCTCAAGTTGCGGTCATGTGATGTCTTGCTTAATGACTGCAGCGGAAGTGAGGTGATAAGCCTGTTGCAGTCACATGATGCCTTACTTAACAACTGCACTGCTTAGCAACAGAGTTGCCAGTCATTAAGTGAGGACTACCTGTATATACATCTTCTCTATTTGAGGGTGGGTCAGTCGGTCGGTCGGTCGGTCGGTCTGTCTCTCTCTCTGTCTGTCTTGTCTGTCTGTCTGTCTCTTTCTTTCTTTCTTTCTTTCTTTCTTTCTTTCTTTCTTTCTTTCTTTCTTTCTTTCTTTCTTTCTTTCTTTCTTTCTTTATATTTTAATTTTACATGACCTGAACAAGTATTTTTACATGCTGAAAATGGACAATGGCAAATAATAAATATTAGTAAATTAGCTTAATTTGTGTTAGAACAAAATAATTGGAATAGGTATAAACAATAATTTTGCATGAATAGTAATTTTGCATATTCCTGATAGGAAAATAAATAAATAAAAACAGAACTTCCAGTAACATTTTTTTAAAGAATAAATTTATCTTATTGAATATATTAACCACTACTGGGTCTATTCATTCATTACTGTCCATAGAGAAATCTCAGCATGGTAAAAACCTTGGACTTTCTCACTTTCTCCTCAGAGCAGAAAGAAAACAATGTGGGATTGAGACTGTACTGTGCTTGATTGAAAAGAGTTTTGTTGCATGTTAAACACAAATCTATTCTAATACAACCTTTTGCAGATTACAATGCATTTCATCAGATATCTATAGTATTTTCCTGATTTTTATTTATTTTTATTTATCAGATTTATAAAGCTATCCATAAACACTCTGGGTAGCTTCCAACAATAAAAATAATCTAAAAGTAACAACCAAATAGATAAAATGATGCACATCTAGGAGAGCAATGAAGCTTCCAACCTAACATACATAGTCCCACAAGAAGCCTGACAACCATCTAGCCCAAGGACTGGGGGGAAAGTCATGTATTTAAAGATTGTTTACACAGGGTCAGGATAGGTTCTCTGGGGGGATCCTGTTCCAAAGGGGAGACAATGAGTTAGACAAGGTCCATTTACTGGGTTTGATCAGGTGACACCGTTTAATTGATGGGACATGGAACATGCCAAATCTGTCCAGTGGTAGAAGACAGGCAGAAACTACCAGAGACAGATGAACAGATCAGTGAAAAAAAATGTTCTATATGCAGTAAAATAAATTTCTTGTATATTCTCATTCAGTTACATCACAATCAAAATAGATCTTGCATTCACATATACAACCCAAATAATATTCTGTTCATTAGAAGAAGTGGACTGTAGTCCATGAAACTTAAGCCATAAGAAGCTGGTCAGTCTTTAATATGCCATAAAACACTTTTTATTTTTTATTTTTGCCACAACAGACTAACAGAGCTACTCCTCAGGAAATTATCTGAATTTTCAGTAATGTGGTCAGGAAGATGGAAATCAAGAAAAGGTAATCAGATTTGTTATTTTTTCCATGTTCAAAAAAAAAAAAAAAGCATTTGGAGGAGTCCTAGGATGCACACTTTGAGATTTCTCCATGGAAAGTAACAAGGGAATTAATATATAAAGCAGTCTTAAACATATTAACTTTTGCCAAGTATAAAAAAGATGTCATATACAGAGGGCAGCCAGGATAACAAAACAACAGTATGGTTGATTTTTTTTAAACTAAGTTCTACAATCACTAAAATTTATTTATAGCAATGGTCAGAATATATACGAATTGGAGAAAAATAAATTAAAAGAAATTTCAGGTTCCTTATATTAGCAAAGAATTTTTAAAGTCTTATCTTAGGGTGGCTTCCATTTCCCCCTGTACGTACATATTTCTCCTTTCCCTTTCTTCCCTTGGTAATCAATTAAGCCTTGAATTCTGAAGCATGTGAAAGCTTGCTCATACTCACTATCTTGGGAGATTTTACTTACTTTGAACAAAAGTTAGTATTATCCTACTATGGCTATTGGATTTTGGCAGTAAGTTTGCTTTAAGACTGCAAACATTTATCTCAAATATTTTAATAGGCACTCAGTAATTTTGCTAACAGTTGTGAAGCACCAAAACACTTAACTTTATCCTGTAACTGTTAACTTGTACAGCTGTAGCTTCTTAAATGGCCAAATATATGCATCATTCTTCACATAATTAAATTCAAATCCATAAGTTGTGAAGATAAATATTCTTCCTTTGCTATTCTAGCCAACCTACTTTGCATGGGAAAACATTTGCCAGAAAACCACTGGGAAAGAGAACATATTTTTTAAAATAAGAAACAAAAAGACAACTTTGACTAATGGGTTTTTAGATGAACAGCTTTCTGCCTTCACCATCACCACTCTTAAATATTGTTTGTTAGTGGAAGTTCTGTAACATACATATTGCACTGATTTCTTACAGAAGGAAAGAAGCCAGAGAAGTTACTGAAAGGGTCCTGCTTGCTGACCGGTCGAACCAGTAATGTACGTCTGTTCAGCTTGTCAGTACAGGAGAGGAAGACACCTCCACATTTCCCCAGAGACCAAGAATCTTCCCCAAAGCTTGAGGTGATATGGATAAAAAAAAAAGCAGAAAAAGAAACACTGAGCCTTAGGGGAAAAAACTCACAGGCATTAAAAAATTAAGCCAAATTTTGAAGTCTGAATTTTCCTTGTGAGTCCTTCACTTCCAGTATCACAGTTCAAATGAATTTTTAAAAAAGAGGAATCATGAAATTGAAAAAGATGTCACAGTTTCATTACTTGGAAGCAACAGCTCAGCAGAATTTTTTTTTTAAAAAAAAAATCAGGGCTCAAAGTAGAGCATGGCTATCCAGGGATAACTTAACTTGATTTGCTTTTCAATTATGAACAAAAGAAGCTTTATTAGAATGGAAGGAGATGGATTAAAAGAGCTACATAACATGGAAAGAAATAAAACTGAACAGATTTTTCCCATCCACCTCTGCAAGAGCAAATTAACCTCATGATGACTTATATCATAATTCTTGCAATCATTCTTCTTGTAATGAAAACAAAAAGTCATATTTAGATTTTAGGGTAATTATTTGGTTAAATGTATTATTCCACTACATAAAAAGCTCACCACAAGCTTTTCTTTGCATTGTAGAAATATCCCTTCAAAATGTCCAGATTGCCAGCCTTCTCCTGGTCTGGAAAACATAATGTTCACCTTATCTATTCTAAGTAGCTGTTCAGAATTCACACATTTCAACCACATAACAACATACATATATATATATTCATTCATTCATTCATTCATTCATTCATTCATTCATTCATTCATTCAATTTCTATAGCCACCCATCTTGTGCAAACGACTCTGGGCAGCAACCAGAGATAAAAAAACTTCAATATAATCATAAATAACAATACACACTCCCAGTCAGCAATTACAATATATTGTCTTGTGGGCATGGGTATCTTCAGTGTCAGGTGTCTGAGTCCTGTCCCAGAATCAGTGTTCAGATCTAATATTTCAAGTTAGAGATCACATGTAGGATCTTTATTTTCATCAGACTCTGGGACTGAATGGATTCTTAGTATGCCTATAAACCAAGAATTTAATTTTTGAGCCTAGTCTTGCACTGATAAATGCCTCACAGAAAGCCAATCTTTGTCAGCAACTCTGAGTAGAGTCAATGTTGTCTTCTTTTATTGGGATGTCTTTTAGTAATATTTTACTTGCTCAGCTACCTAACAGTAGGTCTTCTATTGGCTGATCCACTGCTAATACTGAAAGATGAAGAAAGTAATGTTGGAAAATGAGCCAGTTTGGTGAAGTGGTTAAGATGCTGGGCTGGAAACCAGGAGACTGTGAGTTCTAGTCCTGCCTTAGGCATGAAAGCCAGCTGGGTGACTTTGGGCCAGTCACTCTCTCTCAGCCCAACCCACTTCACAGGGTTGTTGTTGTGGGGAAAATAGGAGGAAGGAGTATTATATATGTTTGCCGCCTTGAGTTACTTATAAAAGTAATAAAGGCAGGATAAAAATCTTTTTTAAAAAGCCCATAGGTGCATTTCATAATTGCACAGACAAGGTAGGGGCACAGAGATGTGTTGTGCATTATTGTAAGGTAACAAACGAAGCCAATCAGCTTTTTTGATATACATATATTGTTCTAAGATAGGAGTGATCCACTATATCAATCAGATTGAGAATAGGGTGTTTAAGCATTCAGTTGCATTCCCAAAAACTTGAGATGGCTTTTCCAGAACTTTGTAGTAAACTGAAATCCATAATCAAAGATAATACATTCAAGCAACCCATGAAGTCTGAAGACATGCTTCAGAAACACTTGCTTGATTTCATTAGTGGCAATGAAATAACCAATTCACAGTAATGCATAGCCAAGGAGAAGATGAGACATGTTAAAGAATACTATTATGCTAGTGTGGCCTTGAGTGTTTAGAAGCTCTGTAATAAAATCCATTGAAATTAGTTTTCTTGGATCCTTGGCTGGGTCCAGACATGAGAAGACTCATGGCTTTGTGATGGAACTTCTTAGCCCTTCAACACACTGGTCGTGCCTCAACTATAACCCAAGACCACCAGAAATCATGGGAAAAGATGGGAGATTGATTGATTGATTGATTTACATTCATCTTGTCTTTCTCCAGGAGCTTAAGTTAGCTTACACGAGGATTTCCTTTCCTTTTATCAATACCTGATGATGTGAAATGTTAAATGAACCCACCAGTGCAGATCATTTTTTCTCCTAAAAATTGCATAGCATATCTAACTCCAGTTAAGTACCAAGTCAGTAGGATAGATTCTGTAGCCTGGAACTAAATCACTAGTGTCGTCACAGATGGCATACAAGCAACTGGTTTGCTTCTTCTTCATGAAAACCATCCTGGAAAAAAAGGACTTCCAGAGAACTAATGGTGAACTGAAGACGGGTCTCCTGACAGTGGAGCCAATGACTACAGTGGAATGAGGAGCCAGTGAACAAGGAGAGGACTCAGGATAGCCCACGTGTGCTCTATACAGCAGCTCCTCATGAGGAGACCATAAGACAGCAGTCTCCGGCAGGTTTAGAGCTCTGGGAGCTGAGAGATTGCCATCTTCGCCCAAGCCACAGTTGGCACTTTTCAAAGGACACATTTTTTTGGTATACTTCCTCTCTTAATCACTTCTAGAAATTGCTTGTTAATGCTTGTTTGCATATTAAGAACCTCCAGAAAGACAAGTTTCATTACACCAGGTGAATTTCCTTCATTCCTTGGTAAAAGACATTTTATGCAAGTTTAAGTACTTTAAAAAATTCTTATTTTTGGAATAAACAGCAGAAGATTAGAATGTTGATTTTGGAAAGTTATAAATGGACTAAAGGGCCAGGTGGATTTGAAATAAGATTTGGAAATAAATTGCAAGAATCCTTTCTGTGGGTTGTTTAGAAATATAGATAGATATATAGATATAGATATATATGAAGATTTTGAAATTAAGTATAAGAAATCTTCCTATGGGAAAATGCTATTGATTAGGAAAAAACATGATAAGATGGAACTTTAAAGGTTGGACACTAGAGGGAACCAGAAATAACTAAAATTATAGTTTAAGGAGAAGAAACCTACTAATACAGAACAGAGCAAAATAATCTGACTTCGGAAGAATTCAAGGATATTTGGGAACAATGCACTCAGAAATTACTCTTAAGATTGTCTGCTATTATAAAAACGGATTTAGAAGAGGTTATAGAAGAGGAAGAGATTTTACTGGACAAAACAGAGCCTGAAGCCAATTCGAATGCAGATCTAAAAGTGGATCTAAAAATGTCAGGCTACAAGAATGATATGGAAAAAGATGTTATACTGGATTTATAAATGAAATCGTATGATGTCTTAATAAATAAAAGGGATATGCAAATAGCAAATGTGATGGACTACAGTAACACAGCAGGTTCTCAGGAAGGAGGGAGCACATTCCAGGAAGAGACAACACAGTCTGGAACTGGATCATGGGAAGAGAAAGATATTTAGGATAGCCACTCCCTAGAATCTCCCAGGGTATATCTGCTAGGTTAGAGTAATACAGATTTAGTCTGGCAAGATTCTGTCTATATGGTTTAAGCAATAAAAGAACTAAACTTGGCTGGATTGTTTCTCTGTCATTCTTGGGTTGAGCCTGACACAAACTAGAAGAATGACTTCGATAACTTTCTTATTTTGGATTTACAAAAGAGATGTGTTAAAGTTTTGAAGGAGCTTCTGAGAAGAGACAAAGAGAAAATGAAAAGAAATCAAGTTCTGGGACACTATTTAAAGAGATTAAAGGTCAAGATTGTTAAAAGAAAAGGGAAGGAATCTAAAGTTGGCTTATTTGATCAAGGTTAAAATATCTATGTTGTTGTTTCTGGTAACTCTTATTGGATTTTTGCTGAGCAGGATCGAATGATGAAACTTTAAAGGTATGTTTATAGACAAGAGATGTGGGAAGAAGAGATATTTTGTTGCATTTTTAGAGAAAGTGATAAGTTACTGTGTTAAAAGGAAAGGAAAGGAATATAGAATGGGTTTATTTGATTGAGATTAAAATATATATGTTGTTATTTCTAGTAACTCTTAATGGACTTTTGCTGATTAGGACTGAATGACGAGGCTTTAAGAATTTGTTTATAGATAAGAGATGAGATATGAGAAGAAGAGCTCTTTTGTGATAGTATCAGAGAAGGTGATAAGATATTGAAATTGTCTGTACTTGTGATTAAGGGGGAAGTTATTTCTTTATATCTCTCTTTTCTTTTTTCTTCACTATATCTCCTCTCACCCTTATGGGTGGTACATGTTTTCCTCAATCTCGGGTCCTCTACCAGAGGCCTGGGACTGAGAGTTCTGCACAGTATCTTAGCTGTTCCTAGTACTGCACTCTTCTGGACAGAGAGCTCTGATGTTATTCCTGGGATCCGTTTGAGCCACTCTCCCAGCTTTAAACTTTAATAAAACTTATTATTTAAAACAAAAATGCTGGAAAAACTGACATTTTGCCCACAGAATAACTCAGGTTCTTCTGAAGTTGCAACAGCAGCACTAGGCTCCATCAGCTGCAAATACCCTTGATATTTACTGGAGAAATATTCTATTCTTCTGCAGGACCATTCTACTATGGGTGCATAGTAAACTTAATGCTACAGGAAACAGGGATCTTAGATATTGCATTAAATTGAATTGATCCCAATTATTGTAAATAACTGTAGCAACAGAAGGGATATCAGAAGTACGCATCCAGACAGAAATGAATTTTCCAAGGGAATTCCATGAATGGGAAACAAAAAGTTCATAAAACTACTGGAAGAAATTTCATCAGCACAGGCATGGCAAAGTCGTGTTGGGATATTTAGGAGCAGGATTAGTCACCACTTCAAATTGATTACCTTTTGGGGCCTTGAGTAATTTGTTCCCATTTGCAAAGCATCTTTCTTTCAAAGATATTCATAGTAAATGTTCGGCCTGGTCTTTTTTTCCAGAAAGCTATGGTATATCCCTTTCTGCTTAGCAGCTGAGTCCACTAGACTGCTTTATATATCTAAACTGCATCTTGTTCTCTGTTCAGGGTGCCTCAGTATTCATTATGCCAGTGTTGACTGTCTTAAACTTCCAGTCACCCACTGATCTTAAACATAATTGCATCAATTCCTGTAATATGCAAGGTGGCAATACATGTGCCAACTCATCTAACATCTCATCTGACAGCAATTCTTGATATTGATATATGAGGGCAGCCTTATTCCAGGCAAAGTCTTGGGCAGTAAGTCAGAAGTTGCTGGACTAGGTAGCTACTTTCTAACTCTCCTTAAACACCATCCTCGTTTCTCCTACAAACATAGCAAAGTACTGGAGTGGGCTTTGCTCCAACAGATATGAACCTGCCAATTAATCAAAAGGCCTATCAGAGAACTGATGATAAAATGTACTTGGGTATGGTCATCCCAGAGCTGCATATAAAGTGCAGTGAGCTGGGAATTTGGGGAACTTTTCAGCATTCTGGTCAAATTTTTCAGGTGAGGCAAAAAGGCATTTTCACAAAGATGACTCAGTTAAAGGCTGACTCAACTCCAATCTGTTTAATTGTCCCTGCATAGCTTTTATAATACACTGAATGAAATCAAATGTAATTTAATTTGTTCTTGTTCGGACTATATTTTGGTATGTGATCTCCATCATGCCACTCAAAAGCCAAATGCAGCTTTTAGTTTTAAAAAGTTGCAAACTTCTCCTTAGTTCACTGAAAAATTCCACATATTTTTATGCAATAGTGAAACTATGATGGGATTCTGATTATATGGGGCTAACCCAAATGGTAGTTCATATATTTTCATATTCCTGATTAGAATAATTTTGTTTTACTAAACAACTGTTATGTAATCTTTGTTATTTCTTATATATAAAATACATTTCAGCAACACAGAACTGTTACTTTCTGACACTTTTAATTTAGGTAACAAATTCATTAGAAAATAAGAGGTGATTTTTTTCACAAAATATAATATTATGAATATTATAGCAGAAATATTTCTATAATTTCAGCTCACAGAAATCATACACGGAAGGAAGGATCTCTCTCTTTTCTCTGGAGAGATTAAAATTTCATTTCATTTTTTATGATAAATTAACTACCTTATTTAAGAATATGACAAAACATTCAAAGAAGAAAAAAAGGAAAGGAAGGAAGAGTATATACTGAACACCAGAGATTAGGACAGAATAAGACAGGATAACAGCTTAGTAAGGAATGTATCTGCCTAACATGTCAGCCCATGTCCTTTGTAGCCAGTACTATCCAAGAGAAATGTCATGCCTTTTTCTGTTATTTCCAGCCAGAAGTGTAAGCTAAACATGAAGTACAGATAGTCCTCGCGTAGCAACCACAATTGAGACCACAACTTCATCGCTAAGCAATGTGATCGCTAAGCAAAAAATCATGTGACCACACTGGAGTTACAATGTTTCTTCCACTTCCATCGTTAAGCAAATCACCACAGTTGTTAAGCGAGACATCATGTAACCATGACTTATGATTTCACTTCCGTGTTCTCCATTAATTCTGCTTGTTGGAAGCCAGTTGTGAAGCTTGCAAATGGCAATCACATGACCATGGGACGCTGTGATGGCCATAAGTGCAAGGATTGGTCACAAAGCTTTTTTCCCCAACCACCATAACTTCGAACATCACTAAATGAGGCAGTCAGTAAGCGAGGACTACCTGTACATAAAGTGTTTCCTAGCTATGCTCCTAAGTGAGGAGGAAGTGCCAGTGGCACAAGTAGGCTTGTTCTAGGCTAAGCATTTAGCCTGGCTTAGCATATGGCTAACAGCGCTAAACAGTCAAACTCCGGATAGAAAATGCTAACATTCTGCTGCCATTTAATGGCCATCTGGGTTTTTACAACCAAGATTTGGCTTAACAAATCATGAAATATGTCAACATCTTCATTCAAGATGTTAAACATTAGTAAGGAGGCATATTTGAACACATTTGATATGAACTTCCAATTACAACCAAGATTGTATACCGATCTGTATAATTATGACACAGCAATATAATTTCAAATATGTACCCTCACCCTTTCAGATCAAGTACTACCACCTAAGCTGTATAGTATGTTTTTATATGAATGCTAACATAAAATGAACATAAAATTCTTACCTATTTCTGTAGTGGTCAATGTTGAAACTTTCTATTTTACACTTCACTTTAGTGTAGACATCTTGTACATCTACTGAGGCACTGAGATCTTCTAACTCACCAACCACACATATTTCTGCAGTATCCAATAAAATTAGCCAGTTCATCAATAAGACACATAATTATTTTGTAGATATGTAGAAGAGAATAGTTTGTCTTAATTTCAAACCAATATTGTTAAGAGAAAACCTTCTTAAAGAACTAATAATTCCCCCAGGAATGTGTATGGGAAGCTCATGTACACTCTGGTGTTGCATACACTACTCTTAACCTTATCTACCAATGGGCTTAGTATACAAACATTATGTTCACAAAGGAGAGGGGGAGGGGCTGAATTCTATTCCCATAAACAGAGCCATGGAGCTGACTGAAGCTACATGCACACATGTACATGTTGCTATCTGCACAGTACGCACATACTATGCATACTACAAATCCGTCTAATTCTATAATTTCTAATGGCTCCTATATAACTCTGTACCTTTTAACAGACACATCAGTCCTAAAGCAACCATTAAAACCAGTGCACTGTGCAAGTAATCGTTTGTTCTATAGCCATGTGTTAGAAAGATTCTGCAGACTGGGATGTGATGGCTGGGGCAGGGTGGAAGGGAGTCAATTACAGGTTCACTGGTGATGAGGCATAATTGTTCTATTTATTTTAATATCCAATATAGGGGTTGCAATCCGTGGCCTATGGTTCTTATGCACCATGCAGGTCTGTTTTTATACCCCTCGGAGTTCTCCAGAAATGTTATTCAAATCTGGTAACAAAACACAGACAATGAGCAAAGTGGTTTTGTCTTTCTTCTGCCCTAAACACAGAAAGAAGGTATGCTAAGACTCCATTTTTGAGCATATTTGAGCAAATGGAAAGACAAGTTCTATTCCATGTTGTCTTTGCTTTTTAATCTGAAATGTAATACCTGTGCCTTTATTTTCTGGATCTGGTGCAAATAACTTTACAGTAAGTTTCGGCAACATCCACTGCATCCACAAACTCACACGTCCGCTTGATATGCCAATATTGCTTGTTGTTTGCTCCAAGGTAACAGAGTCTGAGAATGGAGAATCATCACCACCTTGCAGAGATTCACCCTGACAAAAAAAAGAGAGAGAGAGAGAGAGAGGGAGGGAGGGAAGGAGGGAGGGAGGGAGGGAGGATAAAAAATAAACATTAAAAAAAATCTAAACTAAATTTAAAATATCAACCACTCTTACTCATGTTAATAAAAACCAGTATATTTGAAAAATAAATTCTGAAATAGTAAATGTACGTGTAAATAAAATACTTTGCAAGATATGGCTCATTAGGGAAGGTTTTATCAACATTAAGTAACATCTTTCACGCATATTGAGGACACTGCTGCTGGGGATATACTGATACATACATACACACACAAACCCAACACAGCCATTTCTGATGTCCAGATTTACTAACTCATCTAGCACTACAACAGGATTCATAGCTAGAATAATAGCAGACCACAAAGCCAGATGTTTTCATATAGTACATCTAAATTCCTTAGATTGGTAGTTCTCTGTGTTTAACATGTTAGGTTTCACCAATTACTTTTTTAAAGAACTTGGTTCCAACCATGATATAAAGAGAAAACATGCTTTTCCTGAGGGTACCTGTACATTTACGGGTATTTTATTATTGTAGTTACCCTTTGATTAGGGCTGTACAGATATCTAAGCAGGAGCACTGCTTCAATAAATCTTGAACAAGGCACTTCCTTAAAACTGCTTCATAAAGCAACATGGTCTCCTTGCTTGTAATCATGAAGGGCAGTCATCAAGTTGCTTTGGTTTGTGTGCTCCAACTGGCACTTTCAATGGCTGGAAAAGGCTATGACTCAAGTTTGCAAGACGCCTCATCGAGGCAGACCACATTTCCTTTGCCTGAATCACTTTCACTGAGGTGAACCAAAGCAGCCTTGCCACGTCGTCATCGTTGTCGTCGTCTCCTTCTCCATACAGCAACACAGTAAGGGCTCATCTCTATATAGCAGCATACATTCTTCTGCATTTTACTTCTATTTCAATTGAACAGTTATGGTGGGCAGTAAAGATAGGCAGTAAAGATATTACAGGCTATATTTCCCAGACATTCTCTCTAACTCCACCAGTCCTACTTTCTTAAAAGACTGAACTAAGGAGTTAAGTGAGTGAAGGCATGAGTGATTAAGAAACTGGCATGCTGCAAATGAAAGCCCAATGTGTGATGTTCGGTGAATGTACAAGTCTTCCATAACTGTGCCTAACATAGACTTTCAAAATTCCAAAGGTGCCCCTTTCTCTATAGGGTTGCCTTCTCCATCATAATCCACAGAGAACCAAGATTTTTCCTCCAGAAAATGAGTTTGCATAACTGAACTCCCCTCCAATGCAACCTAATTAGGGGTCAAAGAAACACAAAGGTACTATTTAATTAAAATCAAAATATTCTCAGTATAGATTGAAAGTGAAGTTCAAGAGAGTTTTGATTTCTCTGGATAGGTGTACTATTCCCAACATTTTATAAAAGAATTATTTTCTATGTGCTTGAAAACAGTAGCATTATACACCATCTTAGTCGACACATGCCAAATTATAATTGGTAGATTACACATGAGAAGCAGAGAGTTGTTGTCTCCTCCTTTCCTCATAAATACATCAGCTTGCACTGATTTAATTAAATAAATGATTTATTTTCATGACATCAGATCTAACCTAACAATAATAAACAAAGATATCACATTGCATACAAAAATAACATATAAGCCATGGCAAGACAGGATTGATTTTTTTTAAAAAATGGTTTGTACTCAAGTGTTTTGATACTTAATCCTAAATGGAAAACATTCTTTCATACAATGTATGATTTAAAAAATAACTCTGGGAAAATGCTTAAATTGAAGTATTCTAAATATATTGATGATCAATCATTTTTCTAAAGAGAATAAAATTGTTAATAAGAAAGTAGCCACTTTTTCTATGAAAGCATTCATTAAATCCAGCATGATTGCACTTAAAACTATTCAGATAATTGAGGGACTAAGCATTTAACTATGTACCGCTTGATTAATTTCAAAGGCTAAAATCTGTATCCCAACAAAGGCAACAATAAATCTCCCAGCAGTTCCAAGATTGCAAATGGTATAAGATAAACATCGTATTTTGTAATGAATAACTAAGCCACTAAAAGCAGGCGTAGGCAGTCTTTCAGTTCAGGGCTTCACTTGGCTTTTGAATGCCATGCCAACAGCCACATTGCAAAAAGGGGATGGGGCAGAGGCAAGAAAATGACAGCAACCAAGATAGAAATAAAATTTAATTTAATTTCAAAAACATTTGAAACAAGTCTGGGAGCTTCGCTAAGGTTTGAAAGGGGAAACCATTTTGCATCTCTAAATCAGTGAAAGGTTGTCACAGATGAAATGCAACACTTGTCCATGTGGCATAAGCACAGATGTATGTTCTTGGTAACTGATCATTCAAATGAACTTTTGAATTGGTCCTAAATTCAGGAGAATTTCTTTTGCTAACATGAGTGGAATTTAGGTTGGCAAGAATACAACAATGATTGCTACCATGACCATCATTTGCAGATGTTTCCCAGAAGCAGCTATTCTTTGTTTTAGGAGATGTGGCTTTTTCCTTCATTTACCATATGAATAGTGTTAATGTTTTCACTATGGTGTCAAATATACTTAAAAAATAATAGGATATAATAGGAATGTCTGATTTTTAATTAATTAGGAGGACATAGGTTGAAAATACTACTAAACATCTTGTACATTAAAAAGTTAAATATTTAGGAATGTTGCTTATTTGTAAAACACAGCTGAATTTCAGTATGGCAATTTGTTCTTTGCAGTTGTTTGAATCTATTTTTAAAGCCCATTTTATTCATAAACTTGCATATAATTATGCCTTATTCTTCAGTGCTCCACTTTTCTCTGAAAATGAACACTTTATCATAATCTTTCCATCTCCATATCTAATTTTATTTTAAATTTTATTTAAAAGCAATAGAAGTGAAATTTCTTCAGCTTAAATGTATAAATTTGTAAAAATAAAATGTTGTTGGGTATCCAGCCATAACTGTAAATATCAGCTTTCCAGATCCTCAACACCTTATTGAGGACATGGCATACACAGCAGAAAGTTCAAACATAATTCGAAATGATTAGTCTTTTTACTGGAAAAAAGAATGAAGTCATATACAAAGAGATTTGTTCACTGTAGTATATGGAAGTTAAAGCTTTTATATAAATCTATGCTCCAGAACTCAAATTCTAAACTTTGTTTTCCTTCTGCCTTTCTGAGTCAATGGATACATCATTGTCTTGATGGCCTTGGAAGGCATCTGATCTATATTGATGTAACAGTTCTCTCTAGCCTGGGAACTAGTGGTTCTTCAGTTCTGTTCCTTACAAATATAATTCAGATTCTCACAATAAAAGGAGGGTTTGTTGCTTAACTCCTATGACTGGATTTATTTATTTTTTAATGCATTCAAGGACTTTTTCCCATTTTTCATGCCATGACAGGAGAACTTCACCAGCACCTCTTTTGGTCTGTAAGAGGTGGCATGCTTACATTTGGAAGTGTGTAAAAAATGATCTCAACAGTGGCAGGGTCTTGGGCTATGATATCTTTTACAAGGGAATGCTGATTAATCTGATCAGTGACATTTCCACTGGCAGAAGATTTTAGATAAAACTGTCCTTTGGCATATAAATTGACTTGTAAATAAACTTCACTTGGTTTTTACTGGACATTTACATTCACTGAATATATATTTACTAGGCTGATTTAATACTTAAAAAATATGTTGTGTTTTATCACACATTCAAATACGTTGCTTTTACATTCTTTCTCTGGTACAAAACAGGATACAAAAGTATGAAAAATGAAAACGAATTGTTCTCTGTTTTTTGCATTTGTTGGTACTGTGATTATTCCTCAGATCCAAAAAATGCAGACTATATGTATCAAACAATTTTGTCCTCGATAAAAAAACTCTTCAAAAAAGAAGTCTGCTGGCATGCTAGAACTGCTCAGCACCCTCCACTGGAAGTGGCATTGAGGCTAGTGAGTACATCCTCCTGCTCAGTGCAAAAATCCAAATTCAAGCACCCTAGACAGCTGATTACCTAGCCTGCCTGAACACATCCAGTGAAATGGAGCCCGTCACCTCTTTGGGTCATTAATTCCACTGTCAAACTGCTATTACTGTTAGGAAGCTTTTTATAACATTTAGTCAGAATTTGCCTTCCTATAATTTCAGTCCGTTATTCCATGTCCTGAAATAAAAGGGAACAAGTCTTAACATTCTTCAGTTTGATATCCCTTTAGGTGTTTGAAGAATGCTCTCATATCCCCCCTCAGCTGTCTTTTCTTTTGGCTAAATATGCAGTTGAGACCACAACTTAGCCAGCTTGGACAAAGGCTGATCAAGTTGCTTCATATTTCTAAGTTTACATTAAAAGCAATATTCTAAATATCAGTGGAATGGATCTGAAGATGGGTACCAAAAAAGTTCTTCAAATGGCTGAAATGTAATCTATAAGCTCTCTGCATACCTTTTGAATAGGCTGGGGAAACACTTCACGTTTTAATGTCTAATTTATAAAAAATTAAAATGTTTCAACATGTAGTCCTCGAGTTACGACCATTTGTTCATCAACCGTTTGAAATTACGATGGTGCTGGAAAAATGGACTTACAACTGGTCCCCAAAGTTACAGCTGTTGCACTTAAAAGCCAAGCACCCCACGATCACATGATTGCCATTTGCAACCTTCCCTGCCAGCTTCCCACAAGCAAAGTCAATGGGGAAGCCGGCAGGGGAGGGTGCAAGGTGCTCAGGTAAGTCTCCCCCAC